TTACACTTCTGTTAACTTAATGTGTTTGACATGGTGTTCTTAGGATACTAGAGAGGGCGTCTTTAATTCCTTCCCTGTCTTCCCCAATACCCGTCATCCCGAGAAGACGAGTGAATACTTCTATCCCTGAGGCAGAACAATGGCGCAGAACACAAACTGGCTCAGCATTCAGTTCGAGCAGTCTTGCCAGAAACAGTTCATTCTTGCTGTTGCTTCAAACGCGATGAAGGCTGCGGGTGCCCATCACCGGACAGCACCAAAACAGAAAGCCAAATATGAATACGAGATCTTCAAACTTCATTTCCTTTTACTAAGGCACAATACATTGGTCGCGCTGCAAAGAACCCTTTTGAATTGGTCTCACCTTACTTCTTCCCTAGCCGTTGGCTTTGGCCCCTTAACTTCATCCAGAGTGTGGAATCTTGCATTGATCTTGGTTGTTTGCCTGTTAGCCACAGGGGGGTAGCCACGTGTACTACTGCAGCTGTTTAGTTCTCACAAGTGAAGTACACGTGTGTGGAAGTCGAGGAAACTGCAGACCTTCGATACGGTTTTATTATATTGTCTACTTTCTTTTTCTCGTTTTCGCTATTGTGAGTTAGTAAAATATCAGTTTTACTTAACACATCCATAAAATGCTAAAGGTAAATATGAATCCAAATCTATCATTCGATTCACGTATTGTCATTGGGTTATATTTATATTCTTCAAGTCCTATATATATATATACCTACGTTTAATTAACGCATCCTTGTTTTGTACGATTCTTCATATTAACTGGGATGTAAAAATGAACACCCAGATATCAATAGATGTAATAATATATCATCCATAGAAATTATCAATTAATGATTATTATATAAACAAAATATGCCTTGATTAAATTACATGTAATAAGCAAACTTAGGTGTATCACCCAATGAAAAACAAACCTAGTATCAACCCCTGGCATATCTAGTCGATGAATATCATGGAAGGGGGGGGGGAGGTTAAAGGGCGCTTTATCCCTAATTTAGTTGTGACGCGTCAAACACTTGGGAGGGTATCCTTCCGGTTCCGCCAGTGGTATCTGTATGCAGTATAAATATTTACTGTCCGTTTCACTGAACCATGGTTTATATATCTAAGTTTAAGATCTGATGCAGTAGTCTCATCTTTGACGTGTAACGTAGATCGCTTATAAGTCACTAAATTCAACAGCGCTGAAATAGTTTAGTATATGTAGTTTATGATTGGCGTATCTGTTTTTTCATGGGATATTCGAAACTGCTTCTCACGATACTAGATGATCGAGAGCTCTGAACTCGTGCTGCATAACACACCTAATAATACTAATATACTAATTAAGAAACATATGATTACGATAGAAGATCATAACATAATTTGTTAAAAGTCATTTTTAGTGAAGTATATACATCTCACCATCATCTTATGCTCGCTAAAAGGTGCTCAGATTTTTATGACTCATTAAGTATTCCTATTCCTTCAGGTAAGACGCCTATAAGTCGTAAAACTCTCTAGTACAGGCTGGTAAAAATGTTCTCTCTCTCTCGCGTCAAATACCATTACTAGGATTGTCGCTTTTGAAAAGTTTCGTGGTTATCTGAGTCTGCCTAATTAAAATGCGAACGTAGTTGAAGGTGATGTCTCCAAGAGTTCCAAGTACGTCGTTTTCATGCACCCTTCTTACCCGTCTGTAATAAATGCTGGTTATAGCAGGTCAGCCAATGATAACCAAGTAGGCCTGGGGCAGGAGCCAGAATAAAAATGATATGTGGAGGGTTTTAATGCCTAACATATTCAACCCCCACCCCAAAACACACACACAAACAAACAAAAAACGCTTGTCTTTTCGTTAACCATTAAGTACAATAGTTAACTGGAACTGTAAATTTAGATTTAGTCTGGAGTCGAAGCTTATGCATAAACGGTATACTGTTTACTTAAGGTATCATTCATTGTAAACATTTTAAATCTCTATAATGTTTGAGACTCTCCCGCCTCATTGTTGAACGTTAATGGGAAATATGCTATCGTTTTCTTTACAAAAACCTCTGTAGCATCACCGTGAAATAACATTATAATTCCGTGTTCGTAGATAAAAAAATAAAAAACACAAAACGACCATTGCTACATTACAGTGCGAAAATGTGAGTTTATTTACATAGATTACAGAGGTTCAACTTTTTCATAAAGATATGTTTCGGTTTTATCATTATTTTAATATGCTATTGATAGCTATAAAGCATAAAGCTAAATTCAGTTTATCAAAATGAAACCAGGAGCTTTTCCGTTTCCTCTTCTTGTTAACACTCAGAAAATATGGCTTTAGACGGTCTTGGAATATTATATTTAGTAATATTATATTTTATTATATTTAGTAATCTGCCTTAGAATGTTCTTCCAACATACGTTTTGTGGATGGTCCAAGGTTCGGGCTCGTAAATAGCCGCCGAACACGCACTGAAACAGTCAGCAGTTCTAAATTACGGACGCATGTGCTTGAGTCTCCGTATTTGTGACCTATACAGTTTTGTGTTTATACGTTACATTGTTTTAGAAACTACACATGCAACGAAAATTATTATTTTAAATCACTAGAAATTCCAAAATTCGTGCGAAAACTCCACTCATATCCAAATACTGTACGTGGTTTTGTGGGAAGTTAACATATTCTCCTCCAAGGGTCCAGCAAAATACCTCTATCGTACAAATTATAGTGGCCAGATAATTTGATCTGTTACAGAAAATGACTTACTATCACCATATTTGAGTTACTCCTTTTATTAAAATGATAAATCACCTGCTTGTTTCACAAAATTTAAGAAATTTTATCTTGTGCAAAAATTGGACACCAATAACCCTAAAATAAGGCCCAAGAATGATTCTTGCTTGTGTGAGAGAGAGAGAGAAAAACATATAGCCATGTAATTTGAGTTATTAGTAAGTGCCTCACAAAGAAGAAGTGAAGAATTAACGCCTTATGTCGAATGGGAGAACATTCATTTAGCGTGAAAAACTTTGATTACCAGTCTTCTTTGATTGTGTACAGACAAAATATGAATTGATCTTTAAAGGTTATCTAACTTTTAAAATATTATACTGTACTTCAGAGAATATTTTGTCTCTCATTTTCTATTCCAACTAATGAGTTCTAATATTGAGGGATGGGCCTTTTAGGCAATGACTTGCGGGGGGGGGGGGCAAATGACATATCTGGAATGTTTTTTTCTTACATGCTTCGAATATGAACCCGAAATTAAAAAATAAAAGGAACCTGATAATAAAACACAGTCTACGCAATTTTTATCACAAATTTTAAGAATTAATACTGTTTTGTTTTTTAGGAGGTGTCATTTTGTTTTTATAAATAAAAATTTCATATGAGATTAATAAATTGTCAATATTCCGAGGTTTTGCCGCCTGACTCATATTTTATGGGCCAGATAAAGTTTAAGTTTGGTTATGCCTGATGTAATGGTCTTCATTATGTGCATAAGGTGTTGTCTAGGTGAAAAAATAAACATATGCTACAGAAGATTAGATTTTATATGTCAAGATATACATTATTATCGGTGACTTATAAACACAACTACATAGATTTAAACGAAACGTTTGAAGGAATGCTAATTTAATATGTTAATTTGTGTTCTTACTATATTTTAGTTATCCTCACAACCTTTGGATAATGCAAGGTTGAACATTGATAATATCTGTTTAATACAGAAAATAAATTATAGTTCATAAAAGAAATCAAGAAATTAATTATGTCTGAAATTTTAACACAATTCTTAAGGTTTATTTACTATGAGGCATTTTACTTGTCTTGTTTTCAGAACTCAAAAATATTTGAGTGCATTTGGCACATGCTACTCATCGTGTAAAAGAGAATATTTACTGTCTTGTTTTTAGTTTATGGTCATTTGCTATTTTGTCAATCCATTCAAGCTTGTTTAGTGTGCATGTTATTATACAAGTAATAAAAACTGTTATTTTTTTGCAAATATTAAGTATGATGCAGGGATAGCAAATTCAAAAAGTACAGAAAAGGTAGGGATTAATATACAAAACAATACAAAAATCACTAAATAAGTAGCCAAATCTTTCCAGGAATAACCTTTATCTACAACTACATGTTGAATTCCTGTCATTCGCATGGCCCATTAGTTGCATAGTACTATGTAGTCTTACATTGGTTAATAACCATAAGCTTGTAAGATTAATTCAGTACTTACTACTACTTATGTGGGGGTTTTTGTATAGTTTATATATTTATCCTTACGTTGTTTCTGCATTTTTGCAAAATTGTTTTGTTACTTTTTTCTGACTTTGATAAATGAACATCAATAACACGTACAAAGATCTGACAGTTGTATAAATACTTGATCTCCTCGATATCAGGAATATTAATTTCGATTATTATTTATGTATTTATTTTTACTGAAATTGTTTTGGTAGATATCATGTTTGTGAATGAAAAGTCACAAAAGGTCGTTATATAAGAACAGTTTGTGCTTCCATCTAGCGACTATAAATGAAACTGTTATTTATGAAAAATGGAAATAACATATGCTTACAAACTGAACTCTGTCCTAAGTAATAGTTTCCCTAAAATTATTTCTCCACACAAACGTGTGTGGTAGAAGAACATAATAATATTACTGCTATACAAGCTGTGAAACACTCGATAATAGCAATTGGGTGTTCAAATACAAATAAGGCTATAACTCAACTTTGGCAGATCTAACGTCAAAGTGTTGTTGTTATAAATTCAAAATGAAATGTAATAATAAATCTTATTCTAGTCTCCCGGCGGCTCAATGGTAAGTTTCGAGGCTTATATAATGCTAGAATTCGAGTTCGATCGCCGCAGTAAATACAGCACAGATATTGTTTAGCATTATGCTTAATTATTAATGAAATATTATGGTAGTGAATGAAAGTACAAATTTTGAATTTGATACTCAAACATTTATATATATTGTTTTTATATTTTTCAGCTTCCGAATAGACAACACTGATCACATTATTGATGTAAACAAGGGAAATATACCTTTTGAATATGACCAAGTTAACATCATTTGTCCAGTTTACAGTCCAGGAACACAAGAAGAGGACGTGGAGAGATATATAATTTATAATGTAAGGTTCTTATTCCATCTCTTTGATGACAAAATTTCATTAATTTGGGTTTTATGCTGCTGTTAGCCGAAAAAATAAAATAGCATATTTTATTCACTAAAAATTATCGCACGCTTACCTGGCGCATTTTAGGCCGACAAAGTATGTTTTCACACGAAAAATGCATTTCGAAACTTAGTTTCATATCATATCTTACGCTGTTGCATGATAGTAAAGCTTCTAGTATTTCGTGACAAAAGATTTAAAGTAGACAAGAAACACTTTTTATAGATAAATAATGTTCAGTACATTTATCTGGATATCCTTCTAAGAAAGTAAGAATAAATTGTTTAATAGTGACAGATATATATAAATTTTCGTAATTGTAACTTATTATCCCTACACGAGGAAGGATGAAACGCAGTTTTTCTACTTTTGCTTTCAGAACAGAGATAGAAATCCATCGTTGAGCTAGTTAAAACTGCTGAGTGACATGTACTCCCCTTTAGAAGTAGAATCAGATAAAAGCGTAAAAATACTAAGACCGGTTTTCTTCTACCAATCTCACGCACTTGTCTTTTTATTCCTAAGTAACTTTAGTCATTTTATAACTCCTGCTATGCACGTTTGCTGATGACATAAATAATATTTTTTTCTTTTCTCAACATTTTTCCACGAGATCTAAAAATTATCTAATTTATCAAACGGCGTTCATTAATATTATATATTCTGACAAAAAAAATTAGTTTTTTCTTTTTATTTCTTAATAAATACGACAACTTGGAGAATAATATGATATTTAAATGTGGTATTTCGTTTATTTTAATTGATCATTTGTGAAGACGTTGGAATTTTATTGTTATGAAACTTCCTTATCTGTATTTCAATTAAAACGGCAAGATTTGACTCTGCCATATTGGGGCGATTTAGTCCTCAGATTATAACACAAAAGTGATAAGTATACTACATGAAAAAATACTATAATTGATGGTGAAAGAAAACAACCTAACATCTTTAATGGAATTTAGCTGAATTACGTCGATTTTAATTTTAATTTCTAACATTATAATGAAAATTGTTTTCTACGATAAGCAGTGAAAATAAATCTTTTGACTTCTTTTAACAAAACACTTGCACCATAAGATAATAGCAATAAGCCCAACAGATACAAGAGTTTTTATTTTATTAGCCGGGAGAGAATCCTGAAGCATGTTTGTTAGGTTATTAAGTATGCGCTCCTCCTCATGGTTTTTAATCATATATTCTAATGTCATAAGATTTCATAATAAAACGTTTGTGTGAAATCAAAGATGATTAAAAATATATATTTCTCATTGCCAATCGATGTCAGTGTGTTTACATCGAATGTTTCGTTTTTAATAAAACTGGTACCAAGAAACTAACTATGATATTTCTATATTATGATTGTCGTCGATTTTTCCATTGATAAAAAAAGGAAAACGAATTATTATTCATCCGTAGTTGAGAAAATAACTAAGTTACCTATTCGTGTTGCAGGTTTCCAAGGAGGAATATGATTCTTGTCGAATCAACAACCCCAACTCCCGTGTTATAGCCGTCTGTGATAAGCCTCATCAACTGATGTACTTTACTATTACTTTCCGTTCGTTTACCCCTCAGCCTGGAGGCCTGGAATTCAAACCTGGTCAAGACTATTATTTTATATGTAAGCTGGACTCTATATCTATACCTGTATATTGTTATCTAATATAATTTTAGCCACCTCATCCGTTGATTAGTTAAGGTTTCTTTTTAAACATGTACTTAGCCCGGTGTTAAAAATCTACAAAGTATCAGGTGATTCAACAGATTCCCTAACTTGTAAAAACATAGTTATAACTAATTTTGACTAGGAAATTACAATTAGTGTTGCCTTAGTCAGGTTGTATACTATCGTCCTACACCATCATATTATCTTTGGTGAAAGAAAGGCTGATCTTATATAATAATGCACCAGCAATGCGATCTGCATCTGTTGGAAAATTGGTGAGAAAAGAATTTGGGGTGACTGAGACAAACAAAAGACAATTTGATTTTGGACTTTTCGCTGTAAAGAAATCTTTGACAGTGATAGATTATCCAGCATTACAATCGTGGTACCCGATAATGGATGAGCATAACTCCCCCTTTCCTTCTCGTGGTATGATTTTCAATGAAATAAAAATAAAAACATCGTTAAAACTTTTATGCCAGATAAGTCATTAGCCTACAAGCCCTATTTTTGAGTATAAACTGCATATATTAGTTCCCCAAGTCTTTAGTGCTATCACTGAAGTCTAGCATGTTTTTATCTGTTTATTTAGGAAAAAGTTTTGTGTATAGTATTACAGTACTAAAGAAGGAAAATTATTATATATAGATTGATTTATTTTTTTACACGTTGCTGATTTATTCTAGTGTTAACACTACAGTTTTTCAAGTTTATTGAAATTTTAATGGAACATAAAAATTCTGAATGTACCATCATCACATATGTACGTGCTTAATGAGTGTGCTTTAAAGTTTTTAATTTTGAAACGCAACCAGCTACTCTGTTATAAAAATATTTTTGATATAGACGCTTGTTGCATTCTACAGGAGAAAAGCAAAATGTCCCTTTCACCTTTCTTTTGTTTTGAATAGAAAAATAAATACTCACTCTAACTTATAAATTAATTTAGCGACATCTGGTGGGGGACATGATCAACTTCACCAGCGTATGGGTGGACGCTGTGCTACTCACAATATGAAGATAATCTTCAAAGTTTGCTGCGATCCCTCGAAAAGTAAGTAATTCAATAAAATATAAGAGATAATACACAAGTGTTCTATAATATTATTTCTTTCGTGTTTTCTGATATAATATTGTTATTTGGTTGAATAAGATTGGTTTGTGTGCTCGTCGTTATGCGCAACCTGGGAGGGTCAGACTCACTCGGACCTCTTCCTACATTTTATGTCAGTATGTGTATTTTGTTTGTTGAAGTTTGCGCAAGACTACTCGAGAGCTATCTGCGCTAACCGTCCCTAGTTTTGAAATGATGAACTAGAGCAGTGTTTCTCAACCACCTATCCGCTGATCCGTCACAACCACCTTGCCGGTTCGTGGGATTTCAGGAAAACAAACATGTACCAGATTTGATAGCATTCAGTTTGTACAAACAAAAATTATACAATTAGATATTAGTTTGCGTTCTCGATTGCAATGAACGCATTTTTGAAGTTTCTTTTGAATTTTTCAGTATTTGTTGTTTCTAGACGTGTTTGGTTAAATTTCCAAATCCTTTCCATGTATTTGTTTTATTTATTTCAAAACAAAAATTAAGATTTTCTCAATTTTTTAATATGTCTGTAGCCTTTGAAGGACAAGACGGTAGAATTTGTTTCAAACTTACAACACATTCAAATGTGAGCCCCCACCCTCCAGTGGCACAGCGGCATGTCTGCGGACTTACAACGCTGTAATCCGGGTTTCTATAATCGTGGTGGGCAGAGCACAGATAGCGTTTTGTGTAGCTTTGTTCCTAATTACAAACAAACAATTCAAATGTGACCTGTGTGACAGACGTCTATAGTGTAAATTTGTATTTAAATGCTTATACTATGCTTTCTATTTGTTGGCCTGTATTAAAAATAAAACTAACTGTGGATCTTTATTTTAATACGACAATGCTAAGAAAATACGATTGATTAAATGGTTCAGAAGTTCACAACTAGTAAATTAATATATAATGTTTGAGAGACTTTTTAACTTTCTAATGAAGTCTTATGTGTTCTATAGTTCAAGTAATTCTTAAACATTCCAAACTAGAGCTTTAGCTTCATTTAGGTTTTGAAATGATGTTAGATAATGTTTCTTTTTTTGTTGCCCCCCAGTGGCACAGCGGTATGTCTGCGGACTAACAACGCTAGAATTCGGGTTTCGATACCCGTGGTGGGCAGAGCACAGATAGCCCATTGTGTAGCTTTGTGCTTAATTACAAACAAACAAACTTTCTTTGTTATTAATAACTATATATTCTTATGATTTTTCTACTTATATTTGGAATTTTTTATTGAAAAATACTGTAATAGATAAAATAAACAAACTTCAAATATTAAACTCTTTTAAAAAAGTTTGTTTCATGAATGAAATGTATACAGCTTGTGTGTCTTAAAGAGTATTGCATTTATTAAACGACTGCGAAATACGTAATTTTTACATCCTGTTTCGAGTGTCCGTCTTCTTTCCAAGTACAAGGAATTGAAATATATACGTTCCACTTTGATATTAATGAGTTCTTCCTTTTTCACATAGAGAGCACCACCACCACTACCACCAGCTCTACAATGTCTAGTGTAACTTTTCCTGCCCTTAAACCTGTGCTTACACTCTCTAGCACAACCACAACGACCACCTCCACAGAACCAGTTTCCACCAACTCGGGTGTCATCTTTCGGTGGTTTCCCCCAAATTTCCCATCTAAACCTCCAACCATCAAAACTTTTGAAGTGCCAACTCGAGCGGACAAGAAAAAGACTATTCCAAAGAAGAAGGGTAAGTACACTTGCTTATTAAAGAATAATACAAATAGAATCATAACGTGAGTGCTGGTGAGCGGTAAAATAGTCTACAACAAAACACAGTACAAGTTCTTAGCTTAGTCGATTTTCCCCAAACTTTTGCGATAAGTGTGTCAAAAAAATTTTTTACACAACTACTGTTAAGAGTTATTTTGGACGCCAAATTAGGCAGTTGTTATAAAAATCGTTTTGTAAAAACGACACGTCTGGTTATCCACACGCTTTTGTTATTATAATAGCTATATCATCTTAAAATAGGTTATCTATAGCAAAGTAACAGCTATCTTATGTATCATCAAGATACACGGTGATACACGTTAGTGTGTGTCATGCTGCTCAAACAACCTGCAGGACACACTGTGTGTTATTAACAGAAGTGATAATTTAGCAATTTTCCACTTTTTGTAGCTCAGACTGTGGTAACCCAAACCCATACATATTTTCAGTGGATGTGCTCTATTGGATCCCTATTTCACATACCAAAATTACAAGTTAATCCATTAAGAAATACACGGAGTATAAAAATTCTCCAATTTTGATTGAATTTCTTCCTCTTTTTTTTCGCACCGAAAGCACGAACATTTTATTTGATAGAAAAACATATATAGCTTTCATGGACTTTTTTTTCAAATTTGGTACACTGATAAATCTTTATAATCTACAATTAAGTGTCAGCCTTGGTGTTAATATAAGCCACATGTGCAAAATTATTCAACAAAAACTACTCAATTTCGAACAAAACTTTTGTGCATGCCTATGCAAAAGTCACGTGAGCTATCAATCTTAAAATTTTTACTACAGCATCATCTAAGAGGAAAAGTGAAACGTTTTCATTTTTTTTGTTATTCAGATTAGAGACGGTTGATTTAAAGCAGCAAAAGTATAGGGTGAAAGCACGTGCAGATACTTAAGTTTTGGTTAGGCCAAGCAAACTAGATTAGCAGTTTCTAGCTCACGTTTTCTGAAGAATCATCGGGTGGAGGGTTATTATTCATTCCCAACTTTTAAGCACAGATTTGCTAAATTTTATGAAATTCTCCTAATTAAAGAGTGTTTAGTGTCACGTGATATTACTTAAACAATTAGCATAAATAATGATGTTTGATATGGCTGTATCTAGTGCATGCGGGTGATGACGCGAAACTGTTAATCTAGTTTCCATGGCGTTACTATAAAGGGAGTTATTAACACTGTTTTAGAGAGGGAAAACTACCACGATATATTGTAAAGAATCGTATTGGTTCTGTAAAGTATAGGTCTATTCTGAATGATAGGGTTGCCATCATAAAGCTAATGCTGGTTGCTAGTGTCACTTTCTTACTTGTTGTAATTTGTTGGTGTGTTTTGACAAAAAGTTATGATATCTGACCAAAAACACCTTAGGTGTGATAAAAAAAAAAGACGTGGCTAATAAAAGATTAAACTTAGATTCTCAGGTATTGGGATCCAGGTCTTGAAGACCTGGGAGGGTCAGGTTCAAATGACCTCTTCCTCCCTACTGTATTATTGTCATTTTCGTCTTATTATTGATTTAATTTGTTGACTATTGTAGTATTTTATGTTTTCATTGTTGTTTGCTTATTTATGATTTGTTTCCTTCTAATTTCTGTTGTGTTTATTGTGCAGGCATTATTTCTTGTATTGTTGGGTCTTGTGTTTTTGTATTGTAGAGTTCATGAACTGTTGTATTATGTATGGGATTAGTTTGTTTATTAGAATGTAAGCACAAAGCTACACAATGGGCTATTATCTGTGCTCTGCCCATCATGGGTAAAGTTATTGAACTGTTGTATTATGTGTGGGATTAGAGGTATGAATATTGTTTATGATTATTGGCTATGTTTATGATTGGTGTGATGCAGTCTTCTTGAGAGTTTCGATATTGTGCTATGAAGTCTTAAAATGCTTTTTGACTGCTTTAATGATTGGGTTTGATATTTGTTCTTGACTGTTTTGTTTTTGTGGTTGTTGTGTTGTGTTTTTGTTTGCTTCGTTTATTTCTGCGTTTAATTCTTCTGTAATTGCGTGTGTGTTTGTGCTGGTAACAGTGTTATTCTTTCTCTACTGCTTGATATGTTTGTTTGATTGTTAAATTGTGTTTTAATGTCCTTATATTTAAGACATCCTTTGTAGTTGGCTGTATGTTGCTGCTGGCAGTTGCAGCAAAGTGGTTGTGTGCTGGTTTTAAGGAATTCCGAGTTTCGTAGGATTAAGTGTGCGACTTAAAGGGATGAAATCAAAGTTGGCGACCAAACTGATAGCTACACAAGAAATGTACAGCAAATATTCATTCATTAGTTAGCTAGGCCGTGTATTTTCTTTTATCCATCGTCGTGCCCGAGATGGGCCAATAGGTCTCATATTGTCCCAAAATATTATGTTATGTTATTCTTCTAGTAAAACAATGAAACATTTTATTCACAAATTATATCTTTTTATTTCAGGAGACAGAGACAAACTACCCAATCAGACACGGGCGAAGAATGAGGAATTGGTTAACAACATAGCGTCTGATAACCGCAGGGCTCACGTGACTTCGACTATGGTGTCGCTAGTGTTGTTACTTGTTATAGTTCTTCAGACAAGGTGAACTGTGGAGGCTAAGGATAACCATACTCAAAAACTTTTCAGTCCTTTCGCTGTGTACAAACTGTACCATAGTGCCCTGTAACATAGACATACAAAATGGCTTCGGAAGCGACGCCAGTAGATATCTGGTCAGTGGACGTGTTAAGTTGTTTCAAAGGAGAACGTTTCTCTCCTTGTGCTAATTACTAGAGCTTAGCCATGAACTTAATAGTTTGGTATACTCTTCTAAAAGTGAGACGGTAGCTTAAGGTGATACACAAGAACTCGACAACATTTTTGTTTTTCAAAAAGTAATATGTCATTGGTGGCAGTTACCTAACGGAACCACAGACTTCTGCTATAAATCACGAGTTTACTTAAACGTTATACTTCTCTTCCACCTTTACTCCACTCTATATCGGAAGATGTTTTGAAAGCAAATCCACTGTACTTCAATATAAGCTGATATTCCAAACCCTTCAGTCCTTGTTTAAGAACATAAGTCATCTCCTTTGGACGACGCTATTGTTCAAGCCGGGAATAATGATTACAAACTCTTAACCGAATAAGTATTTCTAATTTCATGCTGTGCCACTAGAGAAAAGTTACTCGAGGTCGTGTGAAGGTTTGTAGTGTAGCAAGCCCTGTATCAATATATATATATTACTGGTATTGTGTAGGTAAATATTACAGGTTTAGTTGCTGTAGAAATAACAGGCATTGTTTCGGTGATTGTTAAATTGCTCTAATTCCATGATTTGAAAATAGTTTCTAGTAACATGAAACAATTGGTTGAAATAAAACTATTAGTAAATAACCGTAACACTTATTGTTTAAAGCACTACTGCAGTAAATAAGCCCACTCTGATATTCTATTTGCTATCTCAAACTTACTGATACTCTTAGTGTTTAAACATCTAGCATAATGATTCCTTTCATATATTTTGGTCTGCCAGTTGTTAAAAAACAACAACCCATTAGCATTGAACTCAGCGAGTGAAACTGTTCAGTAATCTGCCTTAACGTTTGAGACAATTTTTCTTGAGGACGATAAAACTTTTGTACGTTTAATTTAACGCGTTAAGAACTCAACATTGTAGGGAAAAGTAATGCCACCATCACTTGGCACACAGGAGTATTTTTTTTTTTAAATTTAGTTCAATACTAACTGAGATAGGAGTAGAAACAATGTAATCTGTGTTTACGTTAGGCAACATAGCAAGAACAAAAGGTCTACCAGGCGGAAAGCCAATTTCGTTATGAAGGATTAATGTGCCAAATAGTCGTCAGTTTTATCTAGTGCACAGTGCCTTAAAGTGTAGTGATCTCGTTTCAAGCAATTTCGAGCCATATTCTACACCGTCTTGTCAAATCTAGATCATGTAATCGGCCATAAAGAAATGAGAAAGACGGATTTAATATGTACGTCAGTTAAGCTGATTTTAATGTAAGAAACACTGCTGATTAAGGTTTATAGCTGTCAGAACTTTGAAAGAGATATTATTTCGTCATGTCCTTACAGTATCGCTGTTAAAGTGCATAAAGTGATCACATTTTTTAAATAATTCGTAATTAAAAAAAAAAGATCTGTTTCCACTAGAAATTGAACCAATTGCGTTTCTTTCTCTGTTTGTTTTCGTAAATAATAACCGTGTTAAATTATGTTCTTTAGGTTATTTGCACATTATTGAACAACGTGTACACGTTTGAATTAAGTTATAAACAAAATTCATTTATCCTGTAAAAGTTTAAGTCCATAGACATAACTGTGAAACTTCGACGTTGGTCGATTATGGATCACACTTTCTGGTTACTGATTCACTACCCAGGCTTCAGATGTTCTTTTGTAAATAGAGTAATAGCAAACTACACAGACCACGTAACAGTAGACAAGGATAGGACAGATGTTTGTTGTAAGTAATGTTCAAGCGTTAAAAGTGGTGGAATTTTATCCTTTAACGGCAGACAACTATTTAAACAATAGTTAAATAAAAACGTAAACTCACAGAAAAGAAGATTGTAAATTGAAAGGGGACATAACCATTTTATATAAAATTATGACAATAAATAGGATCGTAAAATTTAAAGATTTAAAACCGATTCTCGTTTTACATCTTTAATAAAAGGATTGAGAAATTCAACAATACGATTGCTGGCTGATGATCAAATGGGATAATGTTTGAAACAACAGACTGAAAAAACACGCTTATAAATAAAGGGTAAAACATAAAAAGCATTCTGTTGTGAACCAAGAGATCAACTTTTGCTAAATATTTTTTGGAAATCAATTGCTTTACCTTAGTCCTAATTAAACGTCTTAGAATAATTAAAATGCTTTGACATGGTCTTTTTTATTATCACTTCATCAGGATTTCACAATGATCGGAAACTTGAATGACTTGTGTATTTGAAGACTTTTAGTTATCCTAAAGTGTTTATAACCGCAAGAAAATTTAGTTGCAAAATGATAAACATTTAATCTTCAGCTAAGAACAAAATAGAATTTTCAATTGCTATCATAAATATTCAAAATCAGCAATATCTAATTAGATAAATTGAGAAACTGTAAATTACATAAATAAGGTTCAAGAGAAAAAGAAAAGAAAAAACCATGGTTTGAAATTTCAGTATGTATAATTTCTCAAACTGACTCAACCAAATCTTAGCAAGTTATTTTTTTAAACATTTCAAATTAATTAAGTTCAAATAAAGAACAAATATTTCAATGTTTTGTGTGACATTTTCAGAAACTTTGTTATAGTTTTCACTTATAACGTATTCTTTAGCTTAGGTTCTGCCAAAATAAATATGCCCCTTACTTGAAAATACCAATTATTCTCTGTAAAATGATTATTAGAAGGTCCGAATTGAAGAAATTATGGTTAGGCACGATTATTTCTGCAGTCTTAGGCAGTTTGTGTATGCAATTTCAAACAAGTTTTTCCAAATAGACGAAAACAATTTAAAGTATTACCATTGCCACCCCTATCTGGTGGATCTAGACCTATAGGAAATACTAATTTATAAAATCCTAAACTAAAAGTAAAGAGAGGGAAAGAGTTCCATATGGCACCCCCACCCAAAAATTGTAGAATTGCCTGGATAAAAAAGATTCTGAAAAGGGTTTATTTGAAGGGACATATTAGAAAAATTGGGGCATGGCTTTGACAAGCATTTGTGTGAATACATGTGGAGAATATTATATTCTGATAAAAGTAGCCTTTTTGATGCCTTTATACAAAACATTTGTAAAGTTTATCCCCAAAAAGATTGTACATCTAATTAATGAAGTAAGTGGTATAATAATGTATTCAAATTATCAGATCATACTATTAATATGATTTATTAATACATAAATATTACTTTGATGAATTTTTTTTAAAATTGAGTGGGGGTGCCATATGGAACTCTTACAAAAGAGAGAACAAACTGAACAAAGTAATCACGAATTAATCTAAATATCCCAAACTAATAAGTTATTTTTATCAATTGGTTTTCCTTTCATTATTAAATCATTTGACTATATTTCAAAACTAATCTCCAATGAACTATTCAATACTAAGCTATTTTATTAAACTAAACATGTTTTGATTTTTTTCAAATTCTACGTGCCTATCTACTCAAGTTTATTATATATTTATCCCTCAACATAAAAAGAAAATAAGTAAAACCTGTACGTAGATTGTTGTTTATCTTCAAATCTCAATTTAGTTTTAATATTGGTTTTTTATTTTGTGATTTTGTTTATATTCATAGATAGAATTTCTGTGTTCCAATACTCTGTTATTGTTTGTATTAAAGTGAGCGTGGCTGGCCGTATACGAGGTAATAGACCATCTGAAACCTCGTGCCTTGAATTGGTCGAATATCATAACAGTCAGCATGACGCAAATGAGAACGATATGAATTTCTAAATATTATTATGTGGTTTCAATCAATCGTCCTGTGAACCAACATGAAAAATTAAAATTAGGTTGAGAATACATATTGGTGGCTGACCTTTTCCTCACCTTTAGCAATTAGTACGTAAAACAAAACAGTGAATGTTTTAATAAATTATGACTGTATATGATGACTCGAAGACTTAATACATTGAAAAACTCAAATAATGTCTTCGGTTTCAATGGCTAAAATTAAATGGTTTTTATAAGCCTCATAGTGAAATTGGTAGCATTTGTAATTAACATACAGAAGTTGTGAATAATAAATACAAACGGTTTAAACGTCAGCATAACTGTTTTGATTATTTTACTATAGACTTGAATCAAAATAACTAACGTAAAGTTACCAATAGTTAAGTGAATATTGCATCAGAAATAATAAAAGTACTAAGTATATTAGACATTGTTCTGTGCATAAAAAACAGAATTATTGATGGACAAATAAGAAATCCTTGTGATAATATATTTTTGAACTTTGTTAATAGGTAAAAACAACAACATAGTGTAAGAGCTGTTTAAAAGTGACGCCTTTAAAACGTCCAAATCCAACATTTCAAAGCTGAACATGAACATTGAATCATCTAAAAGCTTTAAACTTGTCGCTCAAAAATATGTCAACTTCATAACTGCCGTTTTGCACGACTTTGCTCACGTAATAGCTGCCATTAAAAACCAAGAAGGTTTGAGAATTTCTAAATTAAGTTATACCTAGTTTACTTGGTTACGTTACTTCCTGTTTGGTTGGTCAAACCATGGTACTGTCAAGTATTTCTTGTTGACTGGTCAAATAAAACTTCGATTAGTACTGAATTTCTCTTTCAAGTCCAACCTTATTATAACACTTAGTCTTCAAGGTCTTGCCTTTAACATTTGAGCATAAACTTTCTACACAGTATAACAAATCATTTGAAATTCAACATTGCACAACTTCATCCTCTGAGCGTGAGAACGCATGGCGCGCCCTCTCATATTGGCGGCATGTGATGCGTATTATAATATTTTAAAAATAGTTTAATATTCAATACATCTATAATTAACGGATGTTTATTTCACCATTCCTTGCTAAACTTATCACACTCTGATCCAGTTATTACAAATGTCACATTGTATTCCTTTCGTAAATTCCAATACAATGAAAAGATATATCATTCGTTCTCGCACAGAGTCGACGAAACTGTACAACTGAAATTAGACCATGAGGTAGATAGTTTTATGTTTCATCTGTCAGATTAATCATACGCAATCATACATTGAAAAATGTTAGGTTGTATTGACATTATTATGAATTATTGACGAAGAAGAACTGAGTTATGGATTTACAGAATGCTAATTTGTATAGATAGGCATTGGCAGAATTATATAATACCGACATACCAGAAGACTGCAAATTACTACTTGATGTGGTAACACACTGTCTTAGATAGACATGAACATGATGGTCAGTTATAAATATTAAAACTGTTTCACCTGTCCATTAACTTATATTTATCGCTGTGTTATTGTAATAGTTTACTCTGGAATACTGTGAATTAGTTACTTGGGACAACTTTGAAATTTCTGTATTCACTTTCAGATTGTACCAACTACAAAAGAAAGATTATATTTAGTTTTATCATATGGGTTCCTTCAGTTTCTTTTACTATTCGCCTGAGCTGGATGTGTTTTCAAAAAACAAGGAAGCATAAACTTTCGAAAATATATATATACAAATATAAATGTAAAGTGTTGAATATTTTATGCTATATTGGTGTGTATGTAACAAACAAAAACAAACTTCTCAATCACTTTTAGTATCGTATTTTTCTGTCTTACGTATTAATGCAATTGAGGTTGAGTATTGCCAAGAATATCTTGTCAGATCTGCGTACGTGTATTGAATATAGCTTTTACTAGATTTTGACGTCCAGTTAAAAAAAAATAAACCGCTTGTAGCTTGTAAAAACCGTGAAAATGTATAGTTGTTTCATATATTTAACGCTAGAGCGTTGTTTATTTTCTAGCCTTGAACCGTGTAAAATTATTAGGTGTAACGAGACGATGAGCTTTGCTGCTATTATATAGAATATTCCATAAAGGTTTATGGAGTTTTAACCAAGAATATAATGGATATATATGAGGGATTTGAAAAGATGTGTTGTAATACATTTGTGGAAATAATATATTTATTACCTGAATGATCGAAAGTGTTTGTGTTCTAGTGATGTGACAGTGCTTGTATAGTTAGTATCGAGGAGAGATGGATTTTTTAAACCTTCCTCAGTTTTATATTACCAATACTGTTGATTGAATTATGTTCTGCTGATTCTTTTTTTCTCGTAGAATAAAAATATTACTTTCGTTTATTTATCTAAACGTTATATAAATTTTATATCTCAGTATTTCTAAGTGGCGTGAATTCTTTGGAATGCTTGTTATTTACAATATTTTCTCATCCAAATAAAAAGAAAAAAAACCTGGAAATTTCTTATGTTATCAGTGTGTTTCGTAAGTAACAGATTTTTGTAATTGTGAAGCCAGAATATTCCCACAGGATGTGATTTTTTTAGGGTGTATATTTTCTTAACCACAGCTCTTACGAACGTTTTGGTTTAGTTGAACTGTTTTTATTTAGCTTTTTGTTTGTGTCAAGGTGTTTCATGGCACCTGTTCCGTTAAATTACGGTTTTTGTACGTCTTCGATAGCATCAAATAAAGCCTAACATTTGGCAGAGTTTCGGAGTTATTGTTTTCATATCCTATTCACCAAATAATTATAAAAACCATAGAACATCATAATTAGCTTATTTGTTGGATTTTAAACGGAAGGGTACACAATTGATTACCTGTGCTCTGTCTACCGCAGAGAATCAAACCCCAGATTTTAACTTATCACTGACACACTGGGAAACAATTAACTTAGTACTTGAGAAGAAACAAAAATAAACAGCATTAATTAACAGCATTGATATGTATTCCAATATATCGAACATCCTCAGATGTACATAAATTACCTGTAATATAGAATAGATATAATAGCATAGTAGGGAATTATTTTCTTTGAACGTACAAATTATGAAGTAATAGTAAAATGTACAAACGAATGTAGTGTTCT